TCTTACCTGTTTCGTTTTCCTCGGGATCAATGTAGTTCTCATAAATTGTATATGGGTGATACGATATGCAAGCACTGCTTATGCATGGACTGTTCTTTTTCGGAGATCACAAATATCTGAAAAATGTTACGTAATTTCAACATATTCACTTATAATTGTATGGGAATTGTTCACCTTCCCGCATTTGGTCTCAAAAATTATATTTGACACACAATTTTTCGCTATTGTCAATGAATCCTTACTTAGACCGTGATAGAAAATTCCTATAATAACCCAATAATATACTTGTTTAGTTGTTTTAACTGCAGCTCCATTTACTCAGAGGGGTGCATGAAAGGAATTTTCGTGAGGGCTTTTTAATGTCTCGTAATTAGACGCTAGGAATTGGTTGCTTGTTAGTAGGATATTTGTTGAGGTGTATTGAATAAATGTAAACGCCTGTTTTATTGATAGATTAATTTACTCAGAAAATTTCAGAGGAGCCAGTGCATTTTTTGTGTACAGGCATAGCGATTCTGAAATGGAAGTTTGGCGCAGCTGCAATTTATCATTTACCAGAAATTTTGTATATTATCATTGGCAATAAATAGAAGATGAATTTACTGGCAATAAATATACTATGATATTCTATATATTCATGAAGTAATATGAGAATTTATTTATGCGCCATAAATCAATGACCATAAATTTGGCTCATAATTATTAGTAATAAATTTATGATGAAAGTTGTTGGAAATGAACATGATGATATTAGACATATTCCCTGTGAGGTTAGGGAGAATTTACTCATGAAACTGTGAGTTAAAAACTACTTTGCTCGCAAATTATTGAGTGGCGATCAATGCATATCCCAGTAAAAATTTACGGACGCGGCAGCTTCTGCTTTGGATTACCAGAAGCTGGGGCGACTCTAAATTTTGTTAGGGATTCAGTTTTAGTATTAAGAAACAAATTTTAACGCTAATATTTTCGAAAAGTTTTTGCACAATTATCACTTAATTTAGATATTTTGAAAGTTTTCCTTACCATATATATATGAGGACTTGGGATTAATCTGAATAGTTCACAAATTTAAAACATTGTTTATTATTATTACGGAAATGTAATTTTATTTTAATGCACCGAAAATTCAGTTGTATTATTTTCAACTAAATTCAGAGTGAAGATAACAACTGATGACATAGAGCATAAGTTGAAATTCATTTTAAAATTCATCATTTCAAAATTTTGTACCCAATAGAAATGAAACGAAAATATTCTCATTGTGTGACTTCACTTTTACCGATAACATAAAATATAACTTAGAATAAATAACATTTTGATGACGTTGTCACTAGAATACTATTGGTATTAAATTACTTGCCCCTATTGAATAACTCAGGATTATTTTACAAACTTCGTTTACAAAATTGGGAAAGAATTTTGGAACTCTACAGCGGAAGATTTAAAAAATAAGAACTCGGGCAATGAGAAAATAAATGGCATCCTGCCAATATCAGAAATGCGTGCGACTGAATTGAATGAATTGAACGACTTCAAAATGAAATCCAGAAACATGATTGAACTGGAATGGAGGCAGATATTCTCGATACAGAGCCCATAAAAGTAATATGAAGAATCACTGACTTCAAAATGAAAGCTGAGGTCTATACTATGAACCGAAACTAAAAGCTTGAAACCCGAAAGAAATATTATATCAAATATAATTTGAATTTATACCGAGGCCGACGAGATGAAATATTTATTTTGCGAAGGATGCCGCACAAACACGAAATAATTTGTACAGAATTTTGAAAAATGGCAGAGATGGAAATTCTGGTTTTCTATTTAAAACCAACGAACACTGTTATGTCGCACGATTTTCAGAAGCTGCATATTTTGCTGCTATTGCACACAAAAGAAGTAAAGAGAACGAGAAAGCACTCGCGTCGTCAGTGAGTGTTTTTGCAGTTACAATCCAGATACTCCAAGTGCAAGCATTAAATTAAGTATTTAAACGTAACTGCCGAGACTTTAGTTGCGGCTTCCCATGTTGGAATTGAACTCGCTTTTCAATCAGCGAGCGCACTCGCCCCACGAGTGCAGTTCTTCTCGTGAATAATCACTGGGTGGCGTGCATAGATAAATGAAGGACTGAGATGCAAGTAAGATTCTCAATCTTATGCCAAACCCAGTGTCATGATGATGATAAGATACATGACTTACTATTAGAAGCATGTACAATGATGAGTGATGATGATTCTAATTAATGATCATTAGATACACGTGCAATTCGTGGATCCAGTAAGAAGGTGGACATTGGCAAGAATTTTTTCACCAATTTTTCGCTGTTCTGACCGATGATTCAATAAATTGGATCGCATTTATGTCTGAAAAATTATAAAGCTTCTAGGGTTCAGTAACACTTAATGAATCACAATCCAAGGTTGTTTGCAATTGATAATACGAATTAATAGTAGATTTTTTTAATTTAATCTGTCGTATGCTGAAATTTAATACCAAACACTGTATTTCGCACACATCATTAATTTTATTTCTGAATTTTACTTGACATGTGATGAAGTGAACTGGTTAAAAAATTACTCTCACAAATTGATTACTCTCAAAAAATTTTTAAGCAATTGATTAAAAATTCTTCAGTTCATCTTCACTCAAACAGTGTGGATACACTCTACAAGAGTTAAAATTTTATCCCAGGTTCGAAAAGCTTTCCGCTTTCCATCACTACAAAGTTTGGCAGTTTGGTTACCAAATCAAACAACCGCGATATATGAGATTGTGAAAGGCCACCGCGTGCGAGTTTTTAGGAGTGAAAATTTTAGTTGTTTCACAGAAATTTTGTAACGTAAAGCACTTAGATTATTCAATAGCTCTGTATTTCCTTTAAAATTATGTTAATAATTTACTAATGAAAGTCTGCGCGCGTCTTTTTGAGTTATGCCAGAAAAGTTTTTAAGTTTGTGATGATCAGAACCTAAGCACAATCTTAAATGTGTCAATAAGTAATCTAACTTAATATTATTATTAGTATTTTTTATTTTACAAGATCCTAGATGTTTTTGACAAGTATTCGAACACTAGAGGCATCGTCGAGTTGTTCCTTCAACTAATTGATTAATTTTTTATGCAAGAATAATGTTATTGCACGATTCCTAATGAAGCATCTGTATGCAAATTTTGATCACAAGTGGACTTCATTAAAGGAGTTCTAGAGATTACGAAATATATTTTTCGTTGAACGCCGCTAACGTTTCGATTGCTTGAACAAAAACATTCACAATAATGTTGATCTAAGCCACACACTCCATTAGTGTCATTATAGAACAGTGCAATGAGCTATCCTTTGAGAAATTAAGAACACTAGTGAAGTAGTGTTCGGTGTTAGCAACAAAGCAATCGAACAGATGAAGGCATCTTAATGGTATGGTAATGGAGGCAAGACCTCTAGCATGTCTTGCGACGCTCAGTGATGTGAATGAATTGAGGAGGTAGCAACGTCATAACGATTACTGCTGTACATGTACTTTAATACTGAGAGTTAAAGACCGTCGAGGCTATGAATAAATAGAGTAGAAAGAGTCGTTATAACGATGTATTAAATACTTTATTAGAGGTAATAAACTACCGATGATGTTGGGAATACACTTAGGAATAAGCGCTATAATGACGAGGAAAATTTATTCACTTTGTCGTTGTAGTATAAAAAAATTGGGTATGAGAATATGTCATGTATAACGCATCATCAACTGTAAGTGAGATTAATTTAGTAGCTTTATTAATGAAAGTAGAAGACCGTGGGAGTTATGCATTCGTCGAGCCAAAAAAGCATCATAAAGATTAATTATTCATTTTAACAATTAACCGTCAGCGTTACGATACAACAGGTGAGACACCGGCGCGAAAAAGACTCATGAACGTGATCAATAAAAGTTACAAACAGAGAGGGCCAAGGCTAGCTGCCTCGATCTTTTTTTACCTCAAATCTCATTTTCCTCACCTGAATGCCTCAAAGCGTCCTGATGATGTCATAGCTTTTACTTCTGGGAAAGAATTCCTCCATATATAGCCTTTTTTTATTCTTCATTTTCATTTATTCATTTATTTTATTCTTCTTCAGTCTCGGCAATAATAAACTATTTTTCCACGTCGATTTGGTCATGAGTTTGTATCAATGAATATCATTATTAGATAATCAATCGTTCAACTTGAAGACGCTAAGCCTAAGTGATTACAGCTGAACTGGCAAGATTGTCCTCGATTGATGGCTGGCATAAGTCGAGCTCAAAACAACCGTGAGCTAGAATTTACAATGCTGATGGAACATGCTCACCATCTCATTTTATATGCTGATGCATGCATAATAACATACTCATGGTCATAAATTATTGTGCCTTGAAGATTTAATTAGCTTGATTTGTTATGAACAAGACCAAAGTGTATATGGACAAGAAAACTTTTCGCCGTCAATAGAACACATTATAATCTGAAATTTATGCTACGATACAATGCATTCTATATTATAGGTCACTTATTGCTTAGGATTTTTATCAAACACTAAATCAACTTAGACATCTAGCAGCATCTATGACCATCTAGACAGTAATAAAATATTAACCACTCCTCCTACGGAAGCTCATGAAAAATTCAAAACATTGCAATGTAAATAATAGTTTTTTTTGTGGTTAAGTTAATAAAAAAATACAAAGCCGAAAATGACGCTTATACTACTCGATATTCAAAGTTGAATCGTGAAAATTGATTTTCGATAGCAATTAAATGTTCCTGATAAACGGAAGCTTTTTCCAGATAATGTTAATAATATATTACATATATGGGACATTGAAATATTTATAATGAAATAAATTAAGAGACTCAAATGCTGGAAGATAAAATTTCCGCAGAAAAGTTTCTCCAGAGTGTAAAATGATATATTGTTAAATCAGGATCTAAAATAAAATTAGGTTATTGTTCCATTTAATATGTTAACTTAAGACAAGCTTTTGGTGGGTTTCTGACCCATCAGACAAAACGTAGACAAAATTTAATGCAATAAAAGATACCCTGACAATTCATGGTAGAAATGTAAACAGAAAAACGTGTTACCAATTTAGGGAAGCATTGATACGGGATCAGTTCATTCGTGTTCGTTGCAGGCATTGATGAGAGCTCTGTTGGTGTTGATGGAACATAATAAAACATTATCACCATCAACATAGTAAGTTGCGTATGTGTTGATGGAAACTAGTAGCATAGTAGGATAGTTTCATCATCAACATAGTAAGCTGCGCAAGTGTAAATGGAGTGGCGTGCGTGGTCGTGCGTCTGGCAGACGGCCGCTGCTGTCGTACTCCTGACGACGACTGCCAGCTCCTGGCAGCGGTATGAGCGGGAAGCTGGCAACCCATCAGGATCGCTCAGTGAAAGTGAGTGTTAAATATTAATTTTGAATTAAATTTCATCATAAAGATATATTTGCAACACGAGAAAAATATCTAGATTTAGTTTTAAAAAATCCAACGCTATTCGAACTTCAAATAGATTTTTTCGTACTGCCTCAAATGGGGTTAAATTTCCATACGTCGTGTTATTGTTTTGTGTTGTGAATTTTACAGAATTTTTTATGGTTTACGTTTTGTATTTTACTTAGACTTTACAGTTGAACGTATATTCTACTTGAAAAATGAGTTAGGGGAATGAATAGTATTATATTATGCTATTATGCTTATTAGAAATTGGTGACTAGTGAAATCATAAAAGTATTTATTCAAGCTTCCAAATTATTGAATAATTTTAAATTATTTCTTCCATATCATTAGGACAAGGAAGTTATAATTTTGGAGGTTATTTATGATGCATTTAGTTGAACTCAATCGACAGGTAATCCATTTTATCCATGCGCATTTTCTTCAATTTATCTCCATCTGTCATGTAGAACATAATTAGCAATAGTTCCATGCTACATAAATGATTATCTGTCAAGAATTATTTGTACTAAAACACGCTATGTGTAAATATTTTATCGCTCTCATTTTGTTCTTAATGGAAAATAATCTAAGAACAGGCTATGCTTATGAAGGCGATTTGCAGTGAAGAATGATTTGTATAGACGCAAGACTGGCGCTGCCGCTCGCCTAGTCACGCAAGACGCTCGTTAGCAGCACGCGCTTGACTGCCATAGCTTACTGGCTTATAACTGAACACTTGCGGTTTGTAGAGTTTTTGTGAACTGAGTTATATATTTTATATAATATATAATTATATTATATTAGACTGAATTGTATTGGAGAACTAATATGCGAATTTTTTTAATTATGTAAAATATAAGTAGAAGATATTATTAATTATGTATAACATGAAGCTACCCAGAAGATATCATTTTATAAGTCTCGAGTTTTGGCTGATGGAGCGCTCTGCCCTGAGGTAAAGCGGTCATTCAGTGCACTACCTACCAGGCATCTGACGTTGAAATAACGTTCGGTGTGCGCCGTTTCAAAGGGATAAACTCTTGATAAACGCCGTTTCATCTGCTAAAAGGGAAAAGTTTAACTCGGGTCGTGTTTTCGTAGTAGATGGTGACACGTAGCAGACTTCGGGCTTCATACACGTCAATTTAATACACTCAATACACTCAATTTATATGCTCAATCAAATAGAGCTGAATGAATAATTCACCGAAAATTTTCCCAATCTTTTGAATTCTGAAGAATCTCGAATGGCCGTGAGAAATAAAAACTGTCACGACTTCCTACCCTGATTGAGTGGACCGAAGGATTCATTAGTTAATGCATGATGTAGCTTGCTCTGAACATTGAGCATCCTTAACCGCCTTATGCTTTGGTCTAATTCAGAACAAAAATATTTCACACATTACCTTAATTCGGATCGGGCAAAATCTACATTGTGTGACAATGTAATTAATACAATCACTAAATAATGCGTTTAATAATAATAATTATTATATTACAAGTAATAATAATATTTTCAAAATTACACCAAATGCGCTCGAAATTGGTGATGACGTCGAATAACAATAATTGACGTTCGTGAACAAACATGATTATCATTAGTGGTGAACAATAATTTTGCAAAGCTATATTATTGTAGCATTTATACCATAAATATGAAGAATGTAAACAATTTCTTGCTCTATGCTTATTTTAAATTGATTGTAAAGGAGTAATTTCGAATCACAGTCTCAATTTTTACCTATCAAGCATTCCGTTAATTCCCACATCATTTTTATCAGCGAAGGAACGTGGCGCTTTAAAATGGGCTTACGTCATTGGCTTGACAAATTGGAAGGCTGCGACGCGATATCACAAGTGTGAGCCTGATGTGAGAGCCTAAAGTGAGAGCCTAATGTGGGAGCCTAATGTGGGAGCCTAATGTGGGAGCCTGATGTGAGAGCCTAAAGTGAGAGCCTAATGTGGGAGCCTAATGTGGGAGCCTGATGTTAGAACCTAAAGTGAGAGCCTAATGTGCGAGCCTAATGTGAGAGCATGATGCGAGAGCCTAATGTTGGAGCCTATTGTGAGAGTCTAATGTGAGAGCCTAATGTTAGAAGCTAAAGTGAGAGCCTAATGCGAGAGCCTAATGTTAGAAGCTAAAGTGAGAGCCTAATGTGAGAGCCTAATGTGGGAGCCTAATGTGAGAGCCTAATGCGAGAGCCTAATGTTAGAAGCTAAAGTGAGAGCCTAATGTGGGAGCCTAATGTGAGAGCCTAATGCGAGAGCCTAATGTTAGAAGCTAAAGTGAGAGCCTAATGTGAGAGCCTAATGTGAGAACCTGATGCGAGAGCCTGATGTGAGAGCCTAATGTTAGAGCCTGATGTGCGTGCTTAATGTGGGAGCCAAATGTGAGAGCCTAATGTGCGTGCCTAATGTGGGAGCCTATTGTGGGAGCCTAATGTTAGAACCTAATGTGTAGGCCCAATGCGAGAGCCTAATGTGAAAGACTAATGTGAGAGCGATAATGTAAGAATCAGAATGACATAGCATAATACGAGAGCCTAATATTAAAGCTTAATTTGATATTTTAAAAGTAATATCTTGAATGTGGGAGACTAAACTTGAGAGCATGAACGTAAGATCCTAACTTGAGACATCAACTTGAGACATCTTCATTTCAGTACATCAAAAAAAAATTGGATCAGTACTCGCTGCAGTGAGTGACAGATAGCGCATTTTCTCGTCCGTCCGTGAAGTCACGGACAGACGGGGACGGAAATGAAGAGCACAATAGCGCATTTTTTTCATAAAGGAGAAAATGCGCTAAAAAGTTTTCCGAGAAAAAAAATTGTAAAATATCGGTATACAGATAAATAAGCATAAATTACTTGAGTATGGATAATTCAATAATCTGTGCGAGTGGGTGGGATTATTGCGACCTATAATACCGAATAGAAATAATTCCCTTCTAATCAAAGGTAGACATTGTACGGCCTCTGTTCTGCCAAGGATAAATGATTAACCCTGACCTAGCGTGTCACTCTGGCGTGCAACAGCTGTGGTGGAGGGCGAACACAGCACGAGATGTTCTTGTAACAGCCCTGCTCTGTAATAAGAGCTAAATAGCCTGCATGACAACCGTAATCACGACTGTAGCCTCCATCCAAAACAAGCCCAGGGGTTATACTTGCGTCTGCAGTGGCTTTGTTATTGCACGTAATGAGAGCCCAGGGATCTGTACGACGCGACTCACTCGGCAGGCGTTCGATGCAGTTCATAATATGTTATCCGTCATAGGAATATTACTCTAATATAGGTGCATTATTTCTACTATCAATATTTGATCACGCAATCTATAAAGAATTTCCATCGAATGACCTTGTCTATATTTATTAAACACTTGGAAACGAATTATTCGCTTAAAATTAGGTATTCTAAGGCAATAGGAAGCATTCGGAACTTGTCTGAAACTTATTTAAAATTTTTCATAATATATGATAAAATTGCAACTGATGATCAGGAATATGTACTTTGCCATAATTGAGCAGTTTTAAACAATTTCAAACGAACTAACAGATAATCATTAGTAATGTCATTTCATTACTTAATTCAAATTAGAGAGATATTGCCGGATCATTGACTTTTATAAATACTTGGATTCATAGAGTTAACAATTACGATGAGTTTCGTGAAGTATTGTTCGGCAATATTTAAGTCCATGCAATCTTTTATGCATTGCACGCTGTATGCGACAGCCGTGAATTATTGAAGTTGTGTTGACTGTCGAGCATCTATCAACGATGAAGGCTGATTTGATATAGTATCTGATCAATACGCCATCTTATCGTGGAAGATTCAATTTCATCTAAATGCATCATCGGCGTTATTTCAGAAAATATAATTGAATGGGAAATCACGTAGAGAGTAAATTAGATTTCTGACATTTATGTTACTCCGGTCCAGTGCTGTGATTATCTTATTGATGGAACTGAAGTTCAGTTTTCATCAGGGTGAAGCAGTAGCTGGAGAAAGAGACTATGGTGCACGAGATTAACGTCGATTCCTCCAATCTTTCAACAAACAATCATAAAGCATACCGTTATGGAGGCCTATTTCCTGCCTTTTCTACACAAAAAAAATATAATTTTATTGTGATATTATATCTGAAGCTCAGCAATCACTTATTGACTTAAGTAAATTCAAGCACCGTCCCTCATTCACTTGACAACTTAGTGGAATATTTTTTACTTATTTGAATTAACGACGTGACAGGCCTTCTTCTCGTCTACGTACCACGACATATCGCCTAGTAAACATGCCAGTTTTGAGTCGCTTACAAGCAGTTAGGCCATAATGACATTTATTGAAATCCCTACGCCATAATGAAAAGATTAATGTAGCTTCACAAAGGCTTGACCGCTTGCGTTACACCAACACCAAATTTAATGAGAGGCGGCACGCGACTTGAGGCAGTTTAATGCGCAACGGCAGCTACAAAGAACGAGCACAATGACGTCACAAAGAACTTTTTTACACCGATGAACTTTTAATAATTCCTACAGAATTCTTTCATTCTGCCTTACAGAAGAATGTGCAAAGAACATTTGTATACTTTTTAAGAAAAGTGGCGCTTGGTGAGAGAAGGAGATATATATACGGAGAGAAGGGAAAGATGAAAGTCAATACTCATGTGTAATGTGTATATACAATCCTGAGTTTTTTATTGTTCAAAATGACAGCAAGATAATCGTCTATTCTACTGAATTGAAGGGACAGCGAAATTATAATTTCAGCACTTTCTCCTCTGTTTCTTCCTCCTTTCAGCACTCTCGTTTTTAATCAAAATTCTTGCACTCACACAGAAAACTTTTCTAATTAACGAGGGATTACCAATCCTTGGGAAATTAGAGGCTGACAGTTACCCGAATTTTCATTGTTCTTCCACTCGCTTACTTAATTTATGGTGTTTGCAGTGA